CTGCCCTAACCCACCAGCCCCCACTCCCCTCCCAGAGCCGGGGAGAGAATCCAGGCGTCCGGGCTCCCAGCCCCCCCTGCTCTAACCCACCAGCCCCCATTCCCCTCCCAGAGCCAAGGAGAGAACCCAGGCATCCTGGCTCCCAGCACCCACCTGACTGTCCAATCCAAGTAGCAGCAGCATGATGAAGAACAGAGCCGCCCAGAGGGGAGCGACGGGCATCAGGGTGACAGCTCGGGGATACGCGATGAACGCCAGGCCAGGCCCTGGGGGAGAGAAATGAGGATTGAACCCAGGAGTCCTGGCTCCCAGCCCCTCTGCTCTAACCCACCAGCCCCCACTCCCCTCCCAGAGCCAGGAGAGAACCCAGGAGTCCTGACCCCCAGTCCCCCCTGCTCTAACCACCAGCCCCTGCTCCCCTCCCAGAGCCAGGGAGAGAACCCAGGAGTCCTGGCTCCCAGCCCCCGCTGCTCTAACCACCAGCCCCCCCTGCTCCCCTCCCCGAGCCGGGTGTGACGGGGCGGCCCATAAGGCTCTATGGAACATGCGTGTGCCTGTGTAGGTAACAGATCTAGAGCGTGTTGGAGGCTACATGTGCCGGATCTCTGTGAAGCCCGTGATCTGCTGGGTCTAGTCACGCTCGGTGGAGGCGCGTGGCCTGGCTGTATCTGGGGCTCCGCTCGTTGGCTGGGTGCTGGTTTGATTCTGGGTCGGCTGGAGGCAGCAGTTGGTGGGATTGCTGAGAACAGACTTCTCGGTACAGGCCCGGGGGGGCCGGGTTAGTCTGAACCCGCCAAGCCAACCAGGCGTCCGGGGGCCCCTCACCGACGAACAGATTCATTTGTACCCACCAAAGCTGATGCCCAAACCAATGTGTTGGTCTGTGAGGGGCCCCGGACTCGTGGTTGGTTCGATTCCCGGTCGGGACCCGTCAGGAACCCTGAAATCCCCCTCTCTGGAGCTCATCACAGCACTTCTGACCTATTCATTAACCCAGAGGGAGTGTTAATGGGGGGGGGGCAGCCCTCTCAGCGCTACAGAGGGGGGACAATTCAGGAGGTCACCCGGCCTCAGTGTTACACAGGGTAACACGGCTTCATTGGGGTTAGACCCCATTGGGCGTCGGGGGGCTAAAGGCGGGAGCCCCCCTGTGAGCGGCTGTGGGGCGTGGGTCAGGCCCAGCAAGTCGGGGGGCTGGGGCCCCGAGCTGGCAGGGAAGCAGGGGGCAGAGGTGGTCTGGGCACATCGAGTGGCAGCTCCCAGGGGGGTTCTGGGATCCAGCCCGTCACAGCGGGAGAGAACCCAGGCGTCCGGGCGGAACTCACCGGATTCTGCCACCATGGAGATGTCGACCCCCTGCTCCGTCGCCATGAAGCCCAGGATGGAGAAGACGACGAAGCCGGCGAAGAAACTCGTCCCGCTGTTGATGAGGGCGAGGATTATGGCATCTCTGCGGGGAGGAGAGGGGGGGTTAGACGCCAGGCCGGGGGGCAGCCCAGCTGGAGGGGAGTTCGGGGGGGATCCCGGCAGCCGGGGGGGGTCGGGGGGGCTCACTTGTAGCAGTCATTGTTGAAGCGGTTGTAGCTGCCCAGGGCTGTCAGGGCGCCCAGCCCGATGGCGTAAGAGAAAAAGATCTGAGTCCCCGCGTCGATCCAGACCTGCACGGAGAGAAAGAGAGAACCCAGGCATCCGGGCTCCCAGCCCCCCGCCCGCTCCAACCAACAGCCCCCACTTCCCTCCCAGAGCTGGGGAGAGAACCCAGGAGTCCTGGCTCCCAGCCCCCCCTGCTCTCACCACCAGGCCCCACTCCCCTCCCAGAGCCGGGAGAGAACCCAGGCGTCCGGGCTCCCAGCCCCCTCCCCGGGCGCGCGGGCGGCGTTACCTGAGGGGATCCCAGTTTGGACCAGTCGGGTTTGAGATAATACAGGATCCCGGTGCCGGCGCCGGGCAGCAGGACCCCCCGGATCAGGAGCACGATCAGCACCACGTAGGGGAATGTAGCAGTGAAATAGACGATCTGGGGGGGGGGAGCAGCGTGAGGCCCCTCCCCCATGTACCCCACCGGTCTATGGCAGCTCCCTCTCCCCAGGGGCCCCCCCAGGCTGTGACCCACCCCGAGCGCCCCATCTCCCCTCCTCCCCAGGGACCTCCCACCTTCCCCT